TGCGACGATACGAGGGGGCGAAGGACGCGAGGCGGTAGATTGAGAAAAGGTGCGGCGGAGGAAAGAGGTGAGCGATAGGGAAGCTCCGTGAAGGAAATACAGCGGAAGGAGTGACACCGGTGCCATGAGAGATAGCGGAGAGACGCAGGAGGGCGTTGAAAAAGCTCGGGAGACAAATCTACCTCGCGGAAAGCGGCGGCGACGAAGGGGACTTGAGAAATAGTCGCGAAAGAATTTCTTATTAGATTGAAAATTCAAATAAACTCACAGTGACGTCGGTTGCATCGATTCTCGAAGCCCCTACTGTATCCCGATCGCTCGAATCGGGTCACTGGAGGACAGATATCCTGGCCAGGATAGCTATCGGGAACGTGACGCGCATCGCGATGTGCGTTATTTTTGCAAACATGGTTTTAACAATCTTCTTAGCTCCGTCGACTCGGAATCTAGGATTACCGCGTCTGAAGCAGCGAGGCCACGGAATTTTAAACTCCCGGCTTTCCGGAGATCGAGATTGCCAAAATTGCGAACTGCCCGCCGAAAATTATACTCGGAAAAATGTACTCATAAAATATTTGAAAGCGGGGAGAAATAAAATCGATACTCGAAAACCTTTGACGTTCGGACCGCGTATAAAAATGTCAAGGGGCCGCGAGTCGAAAAATATATTGAGCTCATCGGTATTGCAAATGATCGGATAAACTTTTTACGGTGACTCCCGGTGTGTAGAGCAACGTAACGTAAATCGATTTTCGGATAAATCTACATGTACGCTAGCGCACGTGATTGATCTAAATGTAGTGCGGCATGCGTCATAAAAAGCCTTCATTGGAAAACACTTTGCCAATGTGGACAGATGCCGTGACGAAAAAAATTCATGGAAGTTTGTCGGAAAAGGCCACCTTAAGCGGCGTCTGCATTTTCAGGACGGAAGTACGAGCGCATCTGTCGCTGCTCCTCTGCGAAATCGCTGTCTCTATCGTTACCATACCGATGTCCTGAAACCGCAGATATCAAAGGAAGAATCCCTGATTTTGTGTTACAGAAAAGTCCAACAATCGTTTATGCAGGATGGCGCGATATCTGTCATCACCTTGAGAATATCTTCCAAAAATATAATTATTTTATTACGAAATGTTTTATACGAAACGGCTCTTTCTTTACTTGGTTCGATCGGAGAAATAAAAAGAGATTAACGATAAAATATTTTCATATATGACGTTACAAGATCCGCACTTTAGCTCTTGATGGTCTAATAATTGATAAGTTTCTCAAACGTCTCTCTGACAAATGTTACAATCTTCCGAGTATTTTATTTTTTGCAACATTGCCCGTCCTGAGGATCGCAACATCTCCAAAAATTCATTTTTAAATCGCGTACGACCTGATTAAATACTGCGATTAACCGAGTGAATGCGAGCGACAGCCATTATTCCTGGACGTCACACATTAAATCACAATTCACGTCTAGTCGCCGTGGCATTTCTCCTGCTGAAATCACGGCTCCACGTTCGCCGATTTCGAGGGGGGCAGGAGGGGAGAGACAAACGGAGGAGCAGGAATCGGCAGCAATTAGTTTGGCATCGGCGACTCGTGCGAACCTCTGACCCGAATTCCTGCGCATCCTTGTTGGCCCAGGCTCGTCGTCCTTCCGCAATAATCGCCTGCTAGTTTTTCCGTGTGTCGGCTCGCATATAAATCAGCCCTCGCAGCCTTGTACAGGGTGGGCCATTTTAATATCATCACCTACCTTAGTATATTTTTCCTACGACTTATACAAAAAAACAAAAATTGTAGGATTTAATAGGATTCTAATACTATCTCTCTCTCTCTCTCTCTCTCTCTTTCTCTCTCTTTCTCAGTCCGAACGGCTGCGAGCGAACGATCGATACGTTCTCGAAAAGTGGCGATTCGTTTTCTCCGTTTCTCCGGTATTGTTTGCGACCTATATATTATAATCCGGGCAAAAATCGAGTTTGCTCATCCGCAAAATCGTCCAAAGTGTTTCCGGTAGACTCATTAGCAAATCGCGCATCAAGTTAAGTGGAATTTAGCGCACGAACAACAACTATATTCGCGCGTATCCCGCGCGAGATATATCTCCTCGCGAAAGCTAACTAACTGTAATACTAATCGGATTGCCGAGACGAAATCTCCGCGTCTAGATATAGGATTTCTATTGCAGGATTGAAATTCGCTCCGAACGCGCTGTACATCCTTGTACTTGTGAATACTTCAAGTTACATCAGGCGTGTTTCGAATATATATAGACAACAAATGTCGTATTTCATCATATTTATTTGCATGATATTTCATTGTATTACATTTGAAAATACCAGATTAGAAGAAAATTTTAACGAACAATTATTTTTCGAGAGTCTACACGAATTTTAAGTAAACTGAAATTCATTGAAACGACGAAAATTCAATTATTCCCGACCGACTGTCACATTGTTGCAGCTGCTAAACGTGAAGAATAGTTATTGCTAATGTTCCGCTGCCGATAAAATTCTGCTTGGCGACTCTGGAAGCTATCACGCGACAACCAATAAAAACCTCACGTGCAACGGTAATCTGGAACGTACGGCGACGGCCGTTGCTTGTGTAAAAATTCATGAACGTCCACCAGACGTTCGTGTACTCGTTCGAGTGCGCCATGAATGAAAGAGAGCCGATAGCCTAATCAAACTAAAAAATTCAACGCTATGCTCGCGTCGATTCTTCTCTCCTCTTCGCTCTACGTTCGCTTTATCTCGCTCATACGCACAAGATGCTGCAAAACGCTTTCCAGATTCACTTTTTTCATGAAATTCGAATTGAATGCAAGCAATTTCTACTTCTTGATTTTAATATCTCAGGTATTTCAACACCTAAATATTAAGTTAAAATTTTATTTAAATGAAATCTGTAACTTGAGGTTGAATAAGTAACAAATATTTATTTTTTTATTATTGTTTCAAAACATTTTTCCAATATGTGGGAATGGTAACCTCTTTCAATTCTAAATCTTTAAAAAGCTCCCCACAGTTATAGTTTTTTCAGCGTTCTGTATTTTTTGCCCTTCAATCCTACCTGCCTCTTTCCTCCTCCGTTTATTTCCTTTCGTTTTCCGCCTCTTTCTGTCCTTTCTTCCGCCGCTCCCTTTCCCTAACGGTCCACTCCTGCGAGCATCAGCAAATCAAACGTCACTGACGTGCATCGCAATAATTCACGATCTGTACGAAGGGAACACGAAATCCTCGACAGCAATCGCTTTCGACGTCACCTTGCTGCTTTCCTTCTGTTCGCCGTTCCGAGTCAAGTTGTCAGACATACACGGTGTCCCAGATTAATCGTATTTCCTTTGACCGGATTCCTTGGGCGACTTTCAATTAAATTTCGTGATAAATCTCGCCAGTCCTTATTTCTTGCACTTTGGAAACTTACCGGATTACATATAAATCACGGAAAATTCGAGTAAGATTTTCAAATTGACACTACGTGACCCATCTGTTGTATTGAATCTTTCGGAGGATGCGAGCGATACGGAAAGGCGGTGGACGCGCGAATTCGTTTTTCCGTGCATCGACGGCTGTCCGTATTTCCGTTCTGTAATCGAACGAGTTGCACGATACTGCGCGCGCGGTAAGACCGTATCCTTTCAAAGGACTCGCGAATATTAAACGAGTTGCCGCGAACCGTGAATCAAAGCGGGCTCCTTTGAGGGCTCTTGCGTGCGATTCGGCGCGCCTCAGACAATTTTGCGTCTCTTACGGAACTGCGATAGCAAAACAAGTCGGAATCAGCGGAACAGACACGTAAGCAAATAAACTATATATATATATATATATATATATATGAGAGCCCGGCGAGCCGATTATATTCCTTTGGCAGTTCGCATCGACGGATCCCATCAGAATCGAATCCCGACGTAAGTTTATTAAGTTCCCGGGAGAATAAAACAATTTGCGAGGAAAGTATCTGGAGAAGTATCAGCGATATTCACCGCGGAGCTCCGAAGCGCGGAGCATTGAGAAGCCGCGAATACTGATTCGCGCGACAATCAACAACACTGGAATTCGAATCTCCCCGGATCTCCGAGGGGAATTTGCGGAGTATCCAAGAAACCGTCGGATTTTTGCGTCTACAAACGCCCGCGATATCCAATCAATCGTGTCGGGAACTGCGACACTTCGAAAAAGGAGAGGTGCATTCAAGCCCCGAAGCCGACGGACTTACCTCTCCTTGACGTTGAAATATCGATCGTGGACATTCAGCGTTTCCGGCGCCTATTTTAATATTGTTTGGCGATGTCGAGCTGGTTGCATGCCTCGTCGCATCGTAACAAGATCATCCGTGGACCGGCAGCTGCAGCTGCATCCGAGCCATCGGAAACAGATTATCGTGCAAAACTTGAGACTGCGGATTATCGGGGACGCGATATTCAGCTTGTCGCTAATACGTCATTTCACTGGCATTATCCCTTTCGTTCTCTAATGATTTACAATGATACGTTACATGTCGGGGACGTGGGCTTACCGAAATTACGCTTATACACACACAGTTATAATCCTAAATGTTTCAATAATAAGATACATTCATTAAAGCGCCAAAACTTTGGCCAACAATTACGTCAAACCGATCCCACGTACGAACATTTTATTAGATTATTCGAAATTTTCCTCTAAAGTTTCAACATTCTTCAGTATCTCTTAGGAAGGTATTTCTTTGAAACAGGAAGCCGCTTCTTTGAAGTTTTGACTATTAAGCTCTACGCCATAATATCCAACGTTGATTTTTATTTAAGTACTTTCATATCTCATACGTGTTTCCACGGTATTCTCATCGTGAAATACGAGACGTGTAACATTTCTATTAGGGCTGGAAATTCGAAGCTTTGGCTCTTCGATACATTATATTCGAATAATGAAATTCTGAAGTGTGAAAATCCGAACATTCGGATATCCGAATATTCGAAACTCAGAGAATCTCGTTACATGGCTATCGAATGACTGTTGCAGGTATGAAACCGAAGATGAAGAATCACTACAGGGCGCATCAGCTCTCGGTCTGGCTGCGCCTAGTCCCCGAGCTTCATCGTGCTGGAATGGAGGATGTCGATTCCAGGCATAACCTGTTCCGCGGCCACAGTGACCCCAGCCTGTATGACGGTTCTGTGAGGCCGGATCCCCTCAGCAGGATCAGCGAGGAGTTTAAGAGGAAGAACCTCAGCACGGAGCCGCCGACCACGACGGATTACAGCATGACGACGTGTGTCAGCCTCATCCAGAGCACCAATCTTCAGAACGTTCATAACGCCAGCACCGATACTTTAGCCAGCCTGGACGCGGCCGGGTAATTATTCGCTTTCGCGATAATTTCATCGTCACTCAAAAGTGCCATCAATCTCTTATTTCGTTTTCTTCACGGTTAGATTTACTGTTGTTCCTCCCAAGAGTTTGTTTTGATTAAATACATACACTGTGTTTTTCTGGCTTCGTTTAACAAAATTATGCGGAATACATTTTTCATCTAATTTCGAAGGTTCCCAACAATCATGGTACATTTTTCTCTGTAGAGTTCGCTTTTTTTCGTGACCCATACCTATCTCAGCATGAAAGTATGGGCTAATGAGTTCTTTGTATTTGCAGTTACGCGGCATATTCGACGGCTTTGAGCGTGACAATCGCGATCGGCTGCAGCCTGTTGATCTTGAACGTCCTAATTTTCGCCGGCGTGTATTATCAGAGGGATAAAACGCGGCTCGAGGTGAAGAGTCTTCAGCAGCAGCAGTTGTTAAATCAACAATGCGGCCCTCGCGGCTTCACCGAACTGAAACAACCACCACCGCCGCATTCTCACTACGCCGGTGGGGGCCAAGTGATCGTCGACGTTGAAAATGAAATGTTAAGAAGGTACTGAAACGCTTCTTATTTTATCCGCTTATTTACGCAATATCCGATCAAAGGTCGATTTTAAGAAACTTAAGAAAATTTTAACAAAATTAAGAAACAAATCTTGAAAGAAATATCGAGAAAATGCATCACTTTGTGGCGGATCCGCTGAAAAGAGAATTTCCATTTCGACACTGTTGCCTTTAATACAGACACGATGTAAGCGAATTTATCTTCTCTCACGCGGCAAACTCCTTGAATATACCTATTGTTGCAGGAATGTGATGAAAGGAGGTCCTAATGACCCGAACGCTCCTTTCCAAGGCCAAGGAACCCACACGCTGCCTCACCAACATCATTACCAAAAACAGCATCAGCAACAACATGCTACCCTTCCTCGAGCCTCAGTCATCCAAGACATGAACACGCAAGCTCAAGTGAGTAATATGTAATTTATGAATTTATCACATTTAATCTCTCCAAATTATTATCGCATATTGCTACAGTCATTCTTTCGTTCCGTTCATTTTATTTCATTTTATAACATATACATTTTTATTATTACGCCTTTTATTTTAATGTTATTAATCATTATTGGAAAATACGCGTCTTAATACGATCGTATACATTTTAAGGGAACGACATTTGCGTTTTCTTCTCTCGTTTACATCTCGCCAGAAGTTTATACTGTCGGTATACATTCACGTAAAGATAGTAGCATGTAATGAGACAATAAATGCTTACTTAAGATTAATAACCTCCGTTCGATGTTCGCGCGCAATATTGCCCCTAATAAAATGCATTGCAGCATGGTCTTTCAAACTTCGCCTGCTTAGAAATTTAGTATCTGAGTAAGGCATGCCGTAATCGGAATTATGATCATAAAATATGCCCGGTGAGAGCGCCACTGCCGGGCCGCGTATATTTTATCCGGCCGCTTTAGAATTCCGCGAAACTTCTTTAATAGGATTACGAAGTGGACTTTTTAAAAAGCTCCGCGTGAAACTCTTTTTTACCTGGAAATGAGTAATAGCGCTATCGGCGGTAAATATTTTACCATCAGTCGTCGTAGGACCGCGCCGTGCACACGGAAAAATGCATTGTGTCGCGCCGTGTAACAGTCGAGCGACTTTATCGAGTTTAAAAGCGATTCAGATTTTAAGTTTTTCCATTTTAACCTTCCTCTTTCGGTAGACCGGCGCCGTAGTACGCGAAGCGATACGCCGAGATAATGCATAGTTGTAAAATTGAATGTGCATCCGTGCGTGAGAAAAATTGCCCGCTTCCTATTTAAAGTGGATCCCTCAGAGTGCATAGAAACTCTCCTTCTTTCCCCCCTCGTGTAATGACAATAGGGAGTTAAAGCAAGTGTCTTCGTCCGATTAGTTGGGAAATCTTGAGAAGGGGACTCTTTCATATTTGACGAAGCCACTTCCAAGAGGACCGGCCCACTCTCATTGCGCTCTCTCTTTTCCAGGGTCCTCCGAACGGATCCATCCACTTGACGGTGCCACGAGCTCCCCCGCCACCCAGGGCGAAGAGCCCGCCGGAGAACCAGCCGCTGCTGCAGAGCGCGACGGTGTCGAGTCGCGTGTCGCAGGCGACGATGAGCGAGATGCGAGTGTGATGCTTGGACCCCCCTCCGAAGCCAGTCGTTCCGGATGTCCTCACGGCGTCGACCTTGCTCTAGGCGGCTCGCCGAGGGCTTGTCCCGAGGAACGGAGGGGGGTGCTGGAGAGTGAGCGAGAAGTCGCGTCTACCGAAGAGAGACTGAGGGTCCGTCGCGAGTTCGGGAGCCGCACAGTGAAGCAGTGAGACGCGACTTGAGGATTCTTTCTTTTCGTCCCGCTCGCCTGCGATCTTTGTGAATTCTAGTATCTAGATCTGGAAATTCCACGAGGTGGAGCGCGCTTTTGCACGAGGATAAGGAAAAGTCGACTCTCGAGGGATTTTTACGCGGTCGGTAAGGACGGCTCTCGCTTTGAGCGACGAGTCCTGGGGAAGGGATAATCAGCGACCGGAACGAAGGAATCAACCCCGACGGCGCCCCGCTCTCGAAGCTCTCGGCTCACAATAATCGGTAGACGTCGATGAATGTATTTGCGAAGTCAAGTATCAAGGGAGGTAGGCGGCAAGACAGGACGTCTTGAACCGATCGGAACCTTAATCAAATTCTGCGCGAAGGAATCAAACGCGATGCATTCCGCATAGTTAGTCGATAATGAAAACGAAAAGCGAACAGGCAAAAAGAAACTCTAGTCGTTAATGGAGACGGGACGAGTGGTGTGAGACGATGGTGGGCGGCTCAATACGAATCAACGGCGAGGAAGACACGTGTAAAAATGAAATACTAGCCACTACGATGTTAGATGTTCCTTGTACATAACGTGAATTTATACGATAAGGACGCCAAAGTTTGCTACTTTGTAAGAGAAACGGTATTTGCATTATGCGTATCTTTCATTCGTATGTTTCTCGGTTGACACGTGTCGACGTCCACGCATGGCGTCAAGTTGCGTGAGTGTAAGGGAGACATTTCTGGAGCATAATGAGCGAGCTTATTCATCGACAACGCTTGTCTGAGTTTTCGTCGCGTCAATGTTTCGTCACATTCAAACGCGGAGTCTTTCTTCCTTTTCTTCTTACAATCTTTATTTTCTAATCTAGATTTCGCGGGGAATTCATTTATAGTCCACACACACACAGTGCGCTCGAGTTCACAATCGCACGACGTGCATTGAAATCAACTGACTGGCGCGAAAGGATTCCGTCGATGAGAGCGATGTCGCTCATTACCGTTGCTCTAATTAATGCCAACTGCCATGCAGGCCGGCTTTACCGCGTGGATGTGTGTATTGCACGTATTGAGTTATGATATATGATACGCACATTATATGACGATCTTCGTATCCTCTCCATGTACACGTATTCACGCATGTGTGTTATATATATATGAAGGGTGACCTCGAACAGTCCTCGAATCATTTACCGCGGATCTTTCTGATTTCCTCGGCCTCGCTTCTTCACATCTCTCGCAACGTGATCTCTCTCACCGTTCAATGTAACCTGAGACTGTGTGCGAAAAGTCAACGTGTGTGCGCTATTCTTCGTCATCTCTTTACCAAACGCGTCCTTTCGGATTCTTGACATTTTACAAAGCGGTCATCCTTGTTATATAGAGTGTTTCACACTCGGCGTACCGTTCGCGACAGCCCCTTCAGAACTGTCATTCCTCTCGTAAGAGGACACGTTTGTCTTGATCACCTGATGTCGATTCTTCAAAGTTTGACTTCCATTCGATGAACATGATTACATTTTTTGTATAAATATACATATAAAATACGTATAAGTGTAAAATAAAGACTAACGTAAATCTGTTATGCGTAATACACTGCCACAAGACTATAGAAATTAACGAGGAGATCTCATGAGACCTGCGATTCTTTTCATCTTTGTCCAAATGAACTGCTTCAGGCTCGATTTTGCAAGATAAATTTATACATTTATTTAAATGTATTAATTACACATAGGTACATATATATATATATATATATATATA